AAAAAAAAAAAAAAAAAAGGACCAGCAGAATACACAATTTTGAATGAGTCGGTTGTCATGAAGTGTGTCCTGCTGAAAGCAAATATACAGCAAACAACTGTTAGCATTTTAAAAGGGATACAGTCAGCTGAGACTATTCAGAAAAAAACTGTCTATGCATCATCCCATATTTAACAGAAAAAGCTGGGGGGGGTTTCACATGACAACACTTCAAAACAGGGAAAACAGTGAAAGTGTTCTATTCAGTCAGCTTCTCCAATTATTTACATTGGAATTAGTAAGAAAAGTGCTTTTAAAAATTTAAAAAATACTGCTTGGAGAACTACCAAAAACTCATACCGGTAAAAATTCATTTTCTGAAGCTGACTGAATTTTAAACACAACACTGTCCCAGTTATCCAACTGCACGTGGCACTGGTGACATGGACTAAATGTTTCAATGTAATCCCCGAGTTTATTTCAAGCATCTCCCCAAAAATGTCTATATTTGTCCCCTAAACCGTCCTCCCCACAGGAGAGGAAAAAAACCAGAGAAACCCTTTGTTAACCCTACAAGCCATACAAGTATTCGACCTTTAGATAAGAGACCATTGTAAGTCTCTAAATTGTTCATGCTGTAGAGATTACGTTTCAGAAACACAGGGACAACCCACAAAACTGAACAGCTAAACAACTCTGGGCCATTTTTCAGGAATGTACAGCACCCAAATCAATGGTAGTTAAAGACGTTCAGCACCACTGTGAATGAATGCCCTGCGTTCCTCAGCCTGTCTCTCTCTCTGATCTGTCCCCATCCCCCAACCTTAGCATCAGTTAAATCACAGTGGGATAAATCACCATAAGCAGCAGCAAAGGAGAGTGTCTGGAAATAAGGAATTGTTGCTAGAGTGACTGATTTATAGATCTTGCTTGATTCTGCAATACATGCACTTTTGGTGGATAAGCTCAGACTTCATGGAAAGCAGCGTCTCCTGGACCCTAAGGACAATTGTTACGCAATTCTTTGCTGAACCTCAAAGCCATCCAGAAATAAGGATGAAAAGGCAGGACCTTCTGAAGTAGCATTAATCAACAGCTCCCTCATCTTCCTATTCTAAGGAAGAAAAAAAAAAAAAAAAAGGAAAGGCTGGGTATTTTGGAACTTCTCTCTTTTGACTGCATCTCTTTTCAGCTTTCCGGGTCGAACAGACTGAACTCCTGGATGCTCCCTTAAACACAAGCCTTTGTTGTCCCAGTAAGTCTTATCTGAAAATTCCACAGCAATAAATGTGGATTTGGACAAACTAAATTAGCAAAATTATTAAAAGCCTGAGACAGAACATCAGCTCAAGCATGATGCTACTGACTTCCACTGCCATAAAACTTTATGGTGCCACTGCAAAAAGGGGCACAGCTTGAAGCCGGCCAATTTAGCCTCAAGCTGCCAAAGCATAGTGACATAGTAGGCTCAAAGAAGTCAAAATGAAGGGTCCAAATGAAAAACACTGGATTATTCCAGTAAAAAGGGCAGACTGTCACTACCCCCAATTCCTGTGGAGATCAGAACAGAGAGGGATCATTGGGAGTTTAGCTCCCTCCTAACATACTTGAATACCTGTTATAAATACATATAAAAGATGGATATTTAACCCCAAGTGCTTGCCATAAAGTTCCCAACTCAAATGCTGAGGGGAGGCATATAATTTAAGAAGAGCATCCCCGCACGCAGTGCTCAGAAAGCTACCAAAGGGTTTCTTTACTCGAGGAGGAAGTCTGAATACTTTTCAAATAGAATCATGTGCTTGTTAGGACAGTAGATTATTCTATTGCCCTAAAAAGTTACCAACCCAAGTGAAGGAACTGAAGTACTGAAGATAGCAAATGGCAAGGGCCTGCAGGCAGATATAAATAAGCAAAGCATCTTTATGCGATAGGAAATGGCAGGATTTCTTTACACCTTAAAAATTAAACTCTGCCTATAATCCTCAGATAGGAATGTAACACACAGTAAAACAGTCAGAGTAAACAGGTCTCAGATTTGAAAGGCAAGTTGTTTCTATTTGCTCAGCACAGGAAGGTATACATTAAGAAACGCTTATTGATATACTATGGTCTAATGGGATTTCACTATCCTAATTATAAATTTATGAAGGTTTTTGTCTGCATCTTGCAAAAGAAACATTATGTTAAACACTTGAGCCATACGCAGCTTTTATTAGGTATTCCAAATTGATGCATCTGCTATTTACAATTCGAACAAGAATTACTGTGCTTCCAGGGTCAGATTGCACCAGCATTTGTGACAGTGTTGTCAGTATATGCATTTTGGATTTCTTTACCAAATCTGGCAACATGCTAAACTGGTTTGGAACTTTTAAAAGGTGACCTTAGCTTCCAGACAGGCAAAATAGGAGCAGAAGTTTTTTGTCCATTTCCACCTTTTAAGTCACTGAGAAGGACAGAAATAGAACTCGTGTGACAACTGCAGAACTGAAATTAGAAAGACTACTAATGCCAAATGACAGCAAGTTTTGAGGTACTGTGGGAGTAGACACTGAAAAGGAAGGATAAACACTGAGAGAGAAGATAAATCTGGAGACAAGTGAAAGAGGACGAAAAGAAGAAAAGGATTTTTTTAAAGGACTAAACTCTCTGTATACAAGATGTGCTAGATATGCTTGGAAAGCTCAGTCTGAGGTACAATGATAAATAGCAGGTTAGTGTTTTAAATGCTTCTAATAGAAAATTTAATATTGATAATATTTATATCTACTTATTAAAATGTAAGTGTCATGTTGATAAACTGTGGATCAACAGTGTGTATAGGGCTGACAAAGTGGGTAGTAGCTAGGTGGGCAGGGTACAGTTAATCTGTATATCCAGGCACTAAATGATCTCTGCCAGGGATTAGTCTCATCTTGAAATATATAATGTCTGAACAAAACCTTGGCTCGCTTTCACACCTTTGGATCATGCCAATTTGTACCAAATTAATTTACATTTTCTGGGGAAGTTACTCCCAGGTTCTCTTAGAGTTGCTTGCCTTATATATTACTCTCTCATTTTAGGCCACTGTTGTGCTGCCAAAACAACACTTAAGAAAGTCTTAAAGCTTTCTCTCTCACTTCAAGACTAGCAAGAAGTTCATTTGGATTCAAATGTTTGACAGGGGAACTGGAGACTTAGCAAAGAATTAGGAGAACTGCTTATTTTACAGCAGTCCGCCATGAGAGAGGAATCATCTTTCTGATAACAGATGCTGCACATTTGAAAGCTTAGTGCAGATTCCACATGAAGGGTACAATAAGGATAAAGATGAGGGGCTTGTGCCACTGACTTTCAGCAAACTTGGAGCTCAAATAATTTGGCCAGGCTAAGAAGTTGAGGAACTGCCCAAAACACAACATACTAGCAGAAGTGCAAGCTATCCATGCCAAGCAGGGGATCTACCTTCTTTTGCATTGTAATGACTTTATGAATGCGGCAGTATGCAGCAAGGTAAGACTCACCTAGCCATACCTGGAACACAAGATGCAATTCTTAAGAAAAATAAACCTGTTCCCTTGTGAAATGGCTCCGAGTGCATTTACATTAAAACAAAAAAAGAAAGAAAAATTTTAAAGGATACGGTCTGTACCAGGAAACAACGTTCTTCCAGTCAACAGCTCAGCCATAATGCAGCCCACTGACCAAATATCAACTGAGCAAAACAAAACAACAAAGAGTTGTAATATAGGAAAATAAAATCTCAACAGTTACTCTGATTAACAAGTCAAAATAACTCCATATTTTAAAGACCCTTATGGTATTAAAATGCAACTTGCAATATAAACCTGGGCTAAGCAACAACGTTCAGTCACCTCTTCAGCTGAAGCTCAACCCTGATAGCCTGAAATAATCTGCTAATGCCAATTTAGATTTCCTCACTAGACCTAATATACAGCAGCCTCTAAAGCATTAAGAAAAAATCTGCACACGGGAAGTAGAAACCTGTTTAAGATAGGCAGTGTTCAGAAGGAATAAGATGCGTGTTGGAAGGGGACCTGGTCACACTGTAAAGGTAAAGGAAGGATATGAAATAATGTGGGGTGTTGGTGCATGAATAAGAGGAGAGGAAAGAGAAGAAAACATAAATAAGAGGGATGAAATCAGGGTAGCCCAACGGTCCCTATAGGAAATTATGTCCTAAAAGCAGAGGATAAGAAAAGATATTTTAACTACTTTATTTACATAAAGCTTGCAAATGCTGCTGATAAACTCCCCAAATACAGTCCGTGAACTGTTGGATGATCACCTAATGCCACTCTTTTCCTTCCTTATAACTAGCTTTATTAGCACACAACTGTTATAATTGTCCCCATTACACAACCAAACATAAGTCAGTCCCTTTCATGAGGCCCATAGTTCAAAAATTTTTGAGAACCCCTGCATGCAATACCTGTCTGGTTGTAATGCATCCAGTTCAACATGATTTCAGGAGCCCTGTACCACCTGGTAGCCACATACCCAGTCATTTCATCGTCTGTGTGCCGGGCCAAACCAAAATCCAGAATCTGCAGAACAGAAAGGACAGGCACAAATTGATGCAGTAGAAAAGTGAAACAACATACTGTTTAGAGCAAATAACGAGACAGTTCTGAGGCTGGGTGGAGGAAGAGACAGTGGAACAATTGCAAGAGCAGATTACGAAACCTGAATTTCACAACCAGTTTGAACATACTAGAGTAGAGGAGCATGGACCTCGGGTATCAGAAAGTATCACACGTATAGATAACTTGCCTCTCTCAGACCTGTGCTCAATTCCAAGCCAAAGCTGTCACCTCTTCACACTCATTACTACTAACTTCTCTCATCACACAAAAAAGTTAACTAAAGTTAGCGCAAATCTCCTCATAGCTCCTTGAAAACAAACTAGCGAGGAACAGACTAAATCATTCTAGACAATTTTAACCTGTGCTACTAAAAAGGGCAATATGCTCCATATACACCTACATTTCCAAAATAATTTTGTTTGACCCTTTAATTCCAAGAAATAGGCACCATACTCCCCACTCAAACCAGTAGCCAAACCAACTGCATGCTGTCATTAGGTTACCTTCAGCTCACAGTCTTCATTTACAGCTAGGTTACTAGGTTTTAAGTCCTAAAAATGGAAACAACATCAGCATCAGTCTTGTGCAATAACATTTGCTGCAACTACAGTGGAGTCTATGCATCGTTTGCATTTGCATTTATATCGAATTGGCTTTCAATGTCAACTATGTATTGTGAGGGAAAAAAATCTCATCTTAGAGCCAGCTCCGGTTTTCTTTCCAGGCCCTCTGTATAAGCTATGACAAGCTGTTTTACAAGATCCTCTGATAAACAGATACAGTACTTTAAAATCTCAATACCTCTGTTAAGTAGCTGTATATTGCACGAATAGAGCAACCAATTTGGGGTAAAGCAACATATCCCAGGACACAGTCCGTCAAAGCAGAGCTGGGAATAGAAACTAAGAGTCTTGACACCCATCTCCCACCTCTAACCACTAGACCACCAACTGCAATATTCCCCCAAAACTTTCTTGCCAAGTCTACAGCTTCTATATTATAAAGAATGAATGCCAAACCCTTTAAAATGATTGATTTCAGTGCAAATACTCACTCTGTGTATTATGTCAGCTGAATGGATATACTGTAAAACAAAAAGACAGATATTTTACATAGTACATCAGCAAACTTCCTTCATTTCCTTGCTAGAGCATAACACCTTCCCTCCCAAGTCAGACTGAGTAATCTGTTTGCCTAAGCCTTCTGTAGACTGTAGGTACAGGAATGTTTTATTCTCAGACCATCTCCCTGATCATTATTAGGAAGCTCTCACCTACAGAAGCTTATGCTTCTCTGAACCAGTTAGTCTCAGAAAGCTGCTACCCTGTCCTGCCTATTACCCAAGGTGTACCTAGACTAGTAGCAGAAATTCAAATAAAAGTTTATTTGACAGTGAATAGATTGCCTCTGTCCTACATAATTTTCCAGTGTCGACCTATCCACATATATAAAAAGAATGTGGACAGGCATCTGGCTGGGATCATCTGACCCCAGCACTCCTTCCTGCCTAGACAGGGGGTTGGACTCGATGATCTGTTGAGGTCCCTTCCAACCCTGGCATCTATGAATTATGCACATTTTCCTAGTGGAGTTCCCTATCAGTATCATTGAATCATAGAGACAACAGGAAAAGGACACCAGAAACAAGGTTACTCTCTTTTATAGCAGGTACAAGAGAAGGCAGCTGACATCTTGAAAACAAACTGGAGAAGCATAAAGTTTTTGTAGGCGACAGTCTACTTCATGAGAGGTTGAAAGCTTGCCTCAGTTAGCCTCTAAGGGGTCACCCTGCCCTGCCTTCTGCCTTACTTCAGACTAACATGGCTAACTACCTCTCTCTCTGTTCCACATTAGTAGAGCTCATAAACATTTCAAAATCCATTCATCATGAAGGGTGCAACAGGCATCAAGGATTTTGCCAGAGTTGTGTGTTCAGCCTCAGATAAAACTGATGCAACTACCTTCAATCCCCGAAGAATCTGATATATGAGAAACTGTACATGGTCATCTGTGAGCTTTTGGCATTTTACAATATTGTTAAGATCTGCTCCCATGAGGTGCGTCACCAGGTATCTGGAAACAGAAGAAAAACATAAGATAGAGACAGCCACGAATTCCACCCTCATTCCACGCAAAAAAAAATGAGTGCTCCGATAGGACTTGGACTAAACCTGCTCCTTTTGCAGCATGGTTTACTAGAAGAGCCCACCACAGGAGGGAATCAACACCTTTCCTTTAAAATTGAAACTGCATTTTCTTCACCATACCTGCTTGCCACAGACTCCTGAACAATGTCTAAGAAAACATTTCTGATACCTAAAAAGCAGCTCCCTTTAAGACTCCTCTTTCCTTCTACATGCAAATATATTTGTAAGAGATAGTAATTTCATTTTAAGCTTAGGAGATCTTGAAACACAACGAACACCTATTCATTTACCTTCCAAAGACTGAAACGTACAAGGATAACCTAACAACTACACAGAAGAAAGATTAAAGGACCCAATAAACTGTATTTCAGACACCCATTATAATGTTTTGTAAAATGTAACTCTTAAAATTAATGCTATGTCCTTTCAATCATAAATTCACCTCCAATTGCAGAACCGTTTCAGATTAGAGAAAGAAAAATAAGTACCCATATTAAAACACTTATTAGGCAGAGACTGAAAACATTAAATTGAGGCTACTGATTGCATCTCTAAGTTAAAATCCTTCTGCAGAGATAAGCAGTAGATGGTCAGATATCTATACATAAATCCACAAGAAAGGCACCATCTTGCAATTGTGCTCACCCCTGTAGGGGAAACCTATTGTCAGTGTTAGCATTGTTAAAGATGGAAGAATGATAAGCTGTAGTAAAACTTCCATTCACATTCTCATACCTTTTTATTATGCTTTAATACTGAACTCACCATCTTTTTTCATAAGTGCAAGGAATCAAAACTAGGTTGTAAAGATTATCATGTCTACACTTTCTAAATGTGTCCACAGACAAACAAACCCCAAGAAGCCTACAGTGAAACACTATTTACAGTATATGTAGTTCAATATCGGGAAGCCTAATCTATCCAAACACCTTCTATTTTTCATAAAGCGAAGTCAATTTAAACACCTAGTTAACTGCTAATTATGATTAAAAGTGGAAGGAACCTAATTAGGAATCCAATTATTCTCCAAAAGAACAGTTGACAGAGAATATAGAGCGACTTAAGAGTAGGACTTACTTTTTTTTCTTTTTTTTTAAATTAAGAACTCAAAATATTTCAGTTCATTACAATTTTGTAAAGAAGCAATGTTTCAACACTTCTAGCTCACCATGACAAGGCGGAAAGGGAAGAAAGGACAGTTAAAATACTGAACACTCTAAACACCAGATACAAAACAACTCCTAAAGGGTCTGTTATTAAGCAATCATGTTTTCACATGGGCTTTGTTGGACTCAAATGTAAGTTCCACATTACTATTCAGGACAGGTGGAATTTGATAACCTTCAGTCACACAGCTCAACATTACAGCTTCAAAACAGACTCTGGAGGAAATGGTTATTTCATTAGATCTTTCAACAAACTTAACCAAAGGTCCAAAGCAAGGTCACATGACAAAGACCGTTTTATTGCCCTTGTTTCTAGCCAACAGGGCATACCAAAAGGACAGGGAACAAATAAGTTCATATCAACTGGATTATTTGTTTCATCAGAAAATTTCCCTTTTCATCTCTGCAACCCCTTCTCATTCAAAGTAAAAATAAAATAAAAGGAATAATTTCAGTGCATGCCCTTTCCTGCCTAAATGAACAGCCACCTCAGATGTAGATTTCTTAAAGCAGCAACTACCTCTGGGCTCCAAAGTGCTGCTGGAACAGTGGGCTTCTGCAACAAGAGAGATGTCCATTACCCATGCATCAAATACTAGTGACTTCCTGCTAGCTAAGAGCCAATAACCTATGACCATATATGCCTTTCACACGTCAACAGACAAGCTTAAAATGGCCCCACATCACATGCAGAGTTTTAACGGCGATATGGCCTACATTTGAATTAACAGAACGTGCACTCTTTCTCTGTACACCAGATTTGCAACACATTACTGATGTAGGTATCCACCCTTGCCTCCATTTATCAGGTTAAAACATTCTATTTATAAAGCTTCCTATGACGGTGCCTCGCTAGATGCTGGTCAGCTCCTATAACTATCCTGCCACAGGATCCCTTACAACTTATAGTAGCTCCAGAAATACATATCTGCTACATGGGGCTGGAATTTGGTATAAATTACAGCAGTCACAGAGCCACTAAAATAACAAAAAATAACCCTTCTTTTATTTACTCTCCAGAGGTAAATTCCAGGCTATGAGCCCAGGTTCACTGCTCTGCTGAAGTGAGTAAGATTCAGGCTTAATTTAGTATGAGTATATGTGTGAGGAATACAACCTACTGGATCACACCTTACAAGGATTTATGGGTGCCTACGTACAGGTAGCTTTTTTCAAAGCAAGGTAAGCTTAGTTTTCTAGTCCAGCATATTTGTAGACACTGATCAGACTCAATGCCAAACCACTCCAACTCATCAAGACAGATAGATACCCAATGAATTGCCCAGCAGCACAAAAATGTCTGATCAGGGCCTCCCATTGGTACATTTTATGGCTTCATAGAACCCACAACACTTTTCTTGCTACAGCCATGTTTGGAGCCATTCAGAAAAGGCTGCTTATTCTGTATCATTAAAAAAAGATTAGGGGAAGCTAAAGCTTGGATTTGCAAAGGCATTTAAGGGTGCCAAGCACCCAAATGCACTAGGTGCCTTTGCACATCCCAGCCTAAATATCCATAGATTGGTAAAGCAAAGAGTAAACACAGATGGCAAGAACACAAAGGACATCTACAAGCACTTGGATAGATTTTTAAAACACTGCGGAAATGAAAGAGACCTACAATTCTGACAAATTGTTCACATAATCCCTCTTTTTCTACACCAGGGAGCAAGGGTGGCTAAACACTCCTGTAGTTCAGCAAGGAAGATGTTTGGGCCTTAGTTTTCAGGAAGGTTACCTACACATCATTGAATTCTTCCAGTGACTTGGCAGGTGTGAATACATCCAGCAAACCAATCACCTGTAAAGTAAAAAGGCAAAAATTAAAAAGCTGTGCAATACTTTTGTAATACCATCCAATGTACCTCATTAGTGGTTTCTCCCTGTAATTATTCACACCACACTTCATTTCTAACCACATGAACAGGCTAGGGAAAAGGAAGGAAATCAGTCTTTATATTCTTGTTTGAATGAAAACAATCTTTTCACTATAAGATGTTGTAAGTTTCTAACATTTAAGGTTATCATTCTCACCCAAACCATTCATTTAAAGTAGCAAATACGAAAGAAAGGTGGAAAAGCCATGCACTATTAATATAATTTTATCTTGCTACATGATAAAGATCCTGTACGTGATTCTAGATAGTCTCTTAGGGAAGAGGGAAAGCAAGCAGAAATGGGCATCTAGAGCTCCAACTACAAAACAAAAGCTTTGAAAGATAACAATTAACAAAACATACAACCGAGTTTTAAAAATGACAAAAATCTGATTAACCAATACTAATATTAAATTACATTGTTCCAAAATACATAAATTTAAAGATCTCAGAGACCAAGGTTTGAAAACTAGGGCTCAAACAATGTCAGGGGGAAAAGAAATCTCCCTTTATTTATTTTTAAGTCTTTTTAAGACCGTGTAAGCCAATCTCTAGCATAGTAACTTAATAACTGTGCTATTTTCTATAACAGAGTATAAAGGATAATGTGAAAAGCAAGGATTTTTGTGGGTCTCATCTTTCATTAGACCAACTGCACGGCTGAGACAGACTAAGACAAGCTTTTGAATACAGCATATCCCAGCCATGCAGTTCGCCCAATAAAAAGTATCACCCACAAAAATCCTTGCCTCTTGGGTATTTTCTAGCTTCCTTCATGGCAACATCACTCCAACACTCCTATAAAAGAATCATCACATTCTGTGCTTTTGTTGAAAATTTGGAAACAGTCTTTTTTTTTTTTTTTTTAAGGACAATTTAAGAGCAAGAACTTCCAAAGAGTCTTTAATCTCAGTTCACTCAACAGATCAGAATGAAGACTAAGACTGAAGTATAGAAGTTTTTAAATGAAACAATCTATCAAACTAGAAGCTAGATGAGGGGAAAAAAAAAAATCAAAACTATTGAAGAAGTTTTAGTTAACACACATCTTAACCTCCCCAACCAGTGAAAATTATGATCTAGATGGGTTCTCCACACCCCGCATTTACACAGACATGCGTGAAGGCAGAAACGGCTAAGATAAAAGTTTAAGCAGATGGTCAAAGGCACAAGTTATGAAGAACCCAGACAATGCTTTTGGCAAGGATATTAGGTTGAGAATTAACTGAACAACTGAATCAGCTTCCACACACCCACCCTATGCTACATCCTAAAGATTATTTAGCTTGTGCAGTAAATAGGTCCTGTTTAAGCAGGCTTGTTCAACATATGGCCCATGGGCCACCATACGGCCTGCCAAGCCGTTTTCTGAGGCCCGAGGTGCTGCGACAGGAAACAAAAGTAAACACTGTTTACTTTCGTTTCCACCCCTTGTCCCTCCTCCAGCCCCTCAGCAGCTTCCTAATTGGGGTGGGGTGGGGTGGGAGCCTTTGGCCGGCCCACTGGGTGATAAAAAGTTCATGATCCGGCCCCACATTCAAAAAGGTTAGAAATCCCTGTGTTAAAGATTTGTTCCCTTCCTTTGTTCATATGAGCTGCAGTATTTCATATCCATGTAAAACCGCAAATTCATCCTTTGAAACACAGCAGGGAAACAATCATTGTAGTTATTTATGTGCTTGTAAGGTTTCTTCAGTCGAAGTTTCCATCTTAGATATCAATCAATCAGATCATCGCATTACCCATTAGTTTAGCATGAAAGGGCAGAGTTTGCCTTTTCTACCCCAACTCTTCTTGCCACCTTTCTCTGTTTGGCTCTACACATTTCAATACAGGCAGTCTTTGACTTACAACATTTCACACTTACAACATTTCACACTTACAACGTTTATAAATCGACACCATTTCTACTTTCTGACATCAATTTCGACTTTTCAATGCTTGATCTAACGCAACAACATGCCAGTGAACAAGTTTGCTGCATCACCAATCTCCCCAGAGAGTATCTGTCCAAACTTCTTTTAAGAAAGCAGCCAAGACTCCTGAGAAGACTCCAGCCAAGAACCCTTCAAAAAGTCCAACCAAGAACTCTTCAAAAAGTCCCACAAAGTCACCCCAAAGAAGTCCTTCCAAATCAATACAGTTGCTATTTACAATATAAATACATTAATGTAGCTATACTACTCATCTATAACTGATTGAGTACAAAATTCTGGGTTATCTTTCATAAAAATAGGGTATTGGGCCTTGGTTCAGGAACCAATCCCCCATTTATAACATTGTTTCCTATGGGAAAAATCGGTTCTAAGTTGCAACGTTTCGACTTAAGATGCAGCTTTCAGGAACCAATTTTGTTGCAAGTCCAAGGACTGCCTGTACATCAAGGCTACACAAACCTTTCCCTTCATGAGAGAACCTGCAATATTTACATGCGTCTGCCACAGTGCATCACTGACTCAGTTCTGAAGCGTCATTACTATGTTCAGAGACCTAACTAGGACTGACGACTGCCAGTACAGAGGCTGGTCAAACTATATTTAACACAAACGAACAGAGTACAGTTCACCCAAGTACTCCAATACCATTTAGTTTCCTGCTGAAGCATTTCACATCAGCTGAAAGGGATGCTAAGTAGAAGCAGCATTTCATGCAAAGGATACAGCAGAAGACTCTAGTGCATGAGAACAAACAAATCTTTAGAAATGCATTATGATCCTGCAATCCTGCTTCCATGCATGTCATGGTTGATAGACAGGATGAGATTTAAAGCAAAGGAACTTCATATGACAACCAACAACTTGTCAAATTAAATACCAACATGAGACTCAAACACACTTCACTTTGCTAAATTCTTCAATTTAATCTATGATACAAAAACAATTACCAAAATACTAACTTCTAAGTTCCATTATAGGTCACTTAGTATTATAGAAATGCCACTTGAGATTGAATGGCCATGCCTGAGTTGAGTTCTATGCTCAAAGAAGGAATTCAAGCACCTATTCCTGAAGAATGCAGCAGGTATTCCTCAAAATTACAGCACTTTCAGTACAGAAGGGATCTTCTGAGAATTTATTAATCAATATATTTAGCATTACAAGCTGGAGGCCCTTTACCAAGATGAATAACTTATTTTCTACTTTACAGTCTTAATATTAGATACAAGATCATAGGTCAGAGAAGGAAATGGGGATTATTGATAAAAAAGAAGAATTTGTTTGAAATGTGAATGTACAGTGGTACTTATAGAAAAAATAATGACAGTCTCCCTGTTCCGATTTGCAAAGTACCTTTTATCGCCTTGCGGCAAGCAAACAGATGTGGGAGATAAAGGTGGCAGCAAAGTGAGAGAACTGAAAGGAACAAAATAAATAGGAAATTGAAAGCCAAGACATAGGTAGGGACAAAACTATGTACAGCTTCACAGACAAGGAAGGAGACTGGAATCCAATGAAATGATTAAACAAGATGGTACATGCTCAAGGCAGCGAAGAGGTTCTTAGCATTAGTATTTTGAAGAATAAAGGTGAGAAGATGGAGAGGAGACATCAGAGACATCAAAGGCAAGCAGAGACCAAGAACAAACAAACACTTCGGAAAAAGAAGAAGAGACTGAAATTTGGGGTGCACTGATAAAGGTCTTCTTGTCTGACACCGATGGCCGATTACTAACCAGCAATATACACTGATACCAATCCAACTGCCAATTTACAGGAACGTAGCCTGGCAACTTGGAGAGCAGCCTCCTATTGCAAGTCTGTGGACAAGAAGGGATGTGGGGGGGCAGCATATTGAGGCCCCCACAGAGGGAGGGACTGGGGCAGGGGCTGCCCAGCCAGGGCAGTGAATGTGACCCCATGGGCAGCTCGTCCAGCGGGCATGGGGAATGGGAAGTAGCTCCCCACTGCTGCATGCACCCCTAGGGGAGGCATGGGGGTGGGGCATGTGCCCCCATGGATTTATGTACAGGGCAAGGGTGGGCTGCCTGTTGTGAGCCAGGGACTGTGCCAGCCTCTTCCCAGCAGGAGGGCTGGGCTCCAAACAGGCAGCGACAGGGCAGAAGGCAGCAGTGCTGGGAGGAGTGGCTACAGGGTGGGCTATAGCCACACCAAAATTCCCCATAGCCACTCCTCCCAGCGCTGCTGCCATCTACCTGGAGCCCAGCTCTGGCCAGTCCCCCCACCAGAAAAAGGCCAACACAGCCTCTGCCCCTGAGCCTGCAGGAGGCAGCCCGCCCTCACCCTGTGCATAAATCCACGGGGGCACATGCCCACCCCCATGCCTTCCCTGCGGGTGCATGCAGCAGCAGGGAGCATCCCCCCGTACTCACCGCCTGAAACCTCCTGGATGAGCCACCCACAGCGTCTCCCTCACCATCCTGGCTGGGCAGTGCCTGCCCCTGATCCACTTCCTTCTTCACCATGAGGGCCTCAATCTACACCCCCACCCATGGTCCTTCCTCCCCCACAGACTTACTGGCAGGAGGCTGCTCTCCAAGCTGCATGCATGCTGCAATTGTGCTCATGCACACGGCATTTATCAGTGACATTACTGGCTACACCAGCCAGAAAAAGTCGATTTCCAATAAGGTTAATTTTCCTTTTAATTGATGCTGACCCAATATATGACTGATATATCAGTGCACCTCTAACTGAAATTTTAGAGGACAAGGATCAGAAACTGACTGAATAGGCAAGAAAGAGAAAAACTGCATATTGATTTAAAGCTAATTACAGAGATTTCAGAAATTAAACAGGTAATTTTTGTTCCTTTCTATAGGCCATATTCTTCCCCACTCATTCTCAGCAGAACTCAGTATAAGTTTTCAAACGTACATAGGCTGCAACAATTATGGGTTAACTGAATATCTAACTTAAGGGATAGAGGTTTCAGACAAAATCTTCAAGGCTGTAGCCACATCTAGATAAACTAATATACAGCCAAATGGCAGATTTAGAGAATTTCAAGGGTAAGCTCCAGTAAATTTTCAAATAAGCTTCTTCAATCAACTATGAATGGCTATCTAAGACTGACTGAATATTAGCAAATCAAAAATCATTTGAACCTGTAGTACATCTAGTTGTTTACATAAAAGTATCACAATCTCACCTATAATAAAACACTGTGATACTAAGCTTTTCATCAATACATTTTGTAGATCGTTTTCAGATGTGCAGATAAAAATGAAGGTATGTACTAAAAAGGGAGACTTTACCTAACTGAAAAAAGGAGGGAGCTCTCTGTAGCTACAAGTGGGAAGCATTGGGCATGTCTACATGTGCATTAACATGCTTTAGTTAATGCGCATTAAATCTAGTACCTCCAGGCACTTCTACACATGGTGTAGGAGGGTGCTTTAATTAGAGCCACTCTGAGAGCGGATCTAATTAAAGCGCCACAGCATCTTGTGTTTCAGCGTTCCCACGCTTGAAAATGGTGGGAGGGGCACTTGAACTAAAGCTCGTTTGATGAGCCTTAGTTTAAGCACCCCCACTGCCATTCTTAAGTGTGGGGATGCTTGCGGGAGGCTGTGGAAGCACAGTAATTGCCACGTTCCAGAAGACCTGATTAATCAAATCTGCTCCAACTCACTGTAATTACAGTGCATCAGAACAGCCTCCACGCTCATGTATAGGCACCCTCTGTTGTGAGGTACTAAGAAAATGCGCATCAGAGCAGTTTTTAAGCCTATTTTCATATGCAGTAACTAAATAGCTGTTTTAGTGATGCTTTAATGTGCATTAAAAATAGGTTAATGCACATTAAAACACACGTGTAGATGCGCCCATTATGTGCAGACCCTTCTTTCAAAACATCTTTAAATACCCCATGGTAGGTTTGCAAGAATTAACAAACCTATTGTTTAAATTAAACCTGCTCTCATTCCTTCAAATTGGTACTCTACTACATCTAAACAAGGTACCACATACACATTCCCATTCTACACATGAGAATAAGCAACTACCTTCCATTCTTAACAAAGGAGCAATACATACTAAATCCTACAATTTCACAAACATTTCTATACTTATCTTCATCAGCCCAGCCCAAAATGGAATTCCCACTCTGAGCTAAAATTTAAAAAAAAAAAAAAAAAAAAAAAAAATGCTTGAGGAAAGGTTTCAGCTTTGGGAACGCTCAAGCAGGTGAAAAAAGTTCACGAAAAGTCTGGGTGTAAAGCAGAATCAGTTGCTAACTTTGCCCATTAGGATAGAGCTCTGTCCTCACCACAGCATTCAGCAGGTGCTGTTGCACACTATCCTACATAGCATGTTGATGTGTCAAAAGTTCCATTTATGTCAGCAACACTAACACTGTCAAAATGATTTCTAAAACATTAGATCCTCTGGGGATACTGGCAGCTGAATGAGATGGCTGATAGCCAAATACACTACAGGCACTGGAAAGAAAAACAAGGGGCTTTCTAGTCAAAATGCCCAAGAGACTCCTTCAGTGAAATCTGTTTTGTGATGTTAATTCTTTGCCTAATAGAGACACTGAAAACAGGTTTGCTCAGCACAGTGCTGCAATTTCAGGAATTTCCTCTGTGTCAAGTTAAAGCTCATGTTCAGAGAAGTTAAGAGTTTTTATATTAACATTCTGACAGCTGGACAGAGCGCTGGAGAGTGTTCACTCACATGGCTTTTCCTGCTTCGAAAACAGCATACAATATTGATGGGGTGATACTTCAATACAGCTCCAAACTGGAACTGTTCATCCCGAAACAAGCCTTGTACCATAGCACCACTTATTACCATGATACCACAGAGGCATTCTAAACTATCAGGAAAAAAAATCTCTATTATTGGACAAAGGTAAAAAAAAAAAAAAGGAAGAGGATCCACTGGTGTGCATAATTCTGTATAAGTGAAAGTACTGAAACAGGAAGATCAACACAGATTTGAATCTAATTATTTAAGTCTAACCTTCCCAGTACAATCCTAATTTTGCTTACTTTAGAGGACTACTGCATCGTAGATTTAAAAATTACATTACATAAAATGTGGAGCATCATCCAGGGAATATTAGCACTGCAAAACATCTGTGGTATTACCTGATCCTATCATCCCAAAGGCCCAACTTTCAAACTTACATCATGCAGAAAATTTGAGAAGAGGTTAGTTATATTAATTTTGAAAAAGCGATTCACACTGAATGCCAACAGAATGCTTAACGTCACACAAGACAGCTAAAAGGTATCTCTTGAAAGGAGTTTACTGTCTCAATTCTGAGTATGGTGAGAAACATAGAGCACCTCTTAACACGATAGATGGATTTATTATAAACTGAATAATGAATAGGGGTGCACTGATATCTGACCTCAGCTGATTTCCTGCCCTTTGGGCAGAGGGCTGGACCTGATGATATTGCAAGGTCCCTTCCAGCCCTAATGTCTATGAAATCTATGATAAAAAATGTTTTTGGCCGATATCAGTGGCCAATTATTAACCAATCTGATAGCCAGTATGCAGCCCCACAGCTTGGAGAGCAGCGTCCCACCAG